TTTTAGTTAATTAGTCAAAAAGTTATTAAATTAGTCAAAAAGTTAACAATTCATACCAAAAAGTTAAAGATTCTGTTTTCTCTCTACTTTTTGCACATCTTTTCGTAATTAGCCAAAAAGTCATCCCAAACATACAAGTTTTTTTTACCTATCATTTTAGCCAAATAGCCAAAAAGTTACTAAATTAGTCTGTTCCCAAACGAGGCCATAATATGAATACGTGATATTATATAATATTAAAATTAGTAGAAAAAATAAGTAGGTGGGTAAAGTATTAGGTGATTGAGAAATATGTGGGGATATATTGAATGATAATTAATTAAGAACTATAAACATGTGATATTTCAAAAATGTTAAATAATTTCTTCACATTTCGAGACAAAGTCGGATTTTGAAAATTTCAATTGTAATTAATTTGGTGTTATTTAAATTTCATCAATTTTTTATTTATTTATTTTTAAATTTCTATTGAAATTTATGATTCAAACACAGTATAAGGATATGTTTGGATTATGAATTTGTATAGAGATTTAGAAAGAAAAAGTAAAGAATGATAAAATATGAATAAAATATATATATGTGAAATATGAATGAAATATCATCCATCATTTTTGTTTTCCTTTCTAAATTTTTATTCAAATTTAAAATCCAAACACAACCTAAATAATACAACAATCTTACAGATTCATTAGCTTAGATTCTTTCTATACGGTATACTAATTAAATTTTTACCACTTATTTATTTTCAGAATAAATTTCTTGAGCCAAGAATTAATGAAATTTCTGCCAAAAATATCTCAACAAAAATGCCAATTCCTCGTCAAGTTAGCATTAGCTTTGTGCTACTGCCAAAATCTATGTACAATTTACAGAAAAATCTCCAAATCACGAAAAAATATCAAGATAGTTATCATTAAAAGTGAAGTGTAATTGAGACTAAAGTATTGTAAAATTGATGAATCTAAGTCACACATTAATATTGTTAAATAAAATTTTGAATACATAATATTATTGTACAATTTACTTTGCAATCGTAAATCTTTTAAAAAGATAATGTTGTAATTTACATTAAAAAAAAATTACATAAAAAATGATGGCCTTATTGATGATGATTTATTAGTAATTAAAAAATTCTATCACTACCTCTACGGATTACAATTATAAAAGATTGAGTGATAATATGGAAATATCAAGTTTTCACATAATTTCATATAAATTTGTTTTTTCCTTTTTTTTTTTTTTATATGCATGATTTACGTGCAACAGCTTATAAAATGATTAGTTCCTATCATGAAAGTAGAGTTGGGTATAGGGTTATCCGACCTGCAAGAACAGCTCAACCCGATCCGAACCAAACTGCATACAAATGAACAATTTTAGGTGTAGAGTAAAATCGGGTGTAGTTTAGATTAATCCTTCATTGCGGGTTGCGGGTTTCATCTGCACTCACAAGCACCCATAAGCACTAAACAAATTTTTTTTTTTTTTAAGCTTAATCCTTCATTGGTATGTAATGTTTCATGCTGCTGGACTTCAAACTTATTGCAGGTACAACAATAGCATCCTCTTTCATGCACAAGTAAGTAAGGAAAAGTCTTTTAATGACAAGCTTTGCTGGAATGATAATTTTATAATGAATCCTTTTTTCTATCTGAAGCACATGACACTGACATACTATAGTGCAAAGGTTGAGTTGTGGAATTGTCTCAAATAATTGCAAATGTATTTTTGAGTGGGTAGGATAGCTAAGCATGATTTTATTTCTGGTAGCAAAAAGTTTTTAAAAAGAAAAATTCAATCCGCTTGTATATTCGTGAATTCTATTTGCATAAACCGTAATCCGCATTGTGGACGGTTGCGGGTTCAATTTTTCCAAGTTACAGACATGCGAGCGAGTTCAAATCACAAACCGAACCATCCAAAACCGATCTACATGAAGGTAGAGTCACAATGGGGCCATTGAGCTAAAATGCAAGTCTAATCCATTGTTATTAAAAACTTTATTAGATATTCTCAAAACGTCATGGGATATTATCTGAATAGAATTTATGGCCAAATGGGTCGTATTTTATCACCTAACTATTTAATAAATGTGAGTTAACAAGGCTCATATGTAAAAATTTTCATTACATAATTGATTTAGAACACCATTTAAGCAATGGCATGAAATTTCAGAACTAGTGGACAATTACTCCCAAGTGAAGTAAAGGGAGGAAAAATATTAGAGAAAATACAGATTTAAAAAAATAATTACAAATTGATAAAAAAAATTAAAATTTTTAATTATTAATATTAATATAATTTACCATTAATTTGTAATATTTTTTTAACATACAATTGATTTGATATTTGCTCAAAAATATTTGGTAGTACACCAGCAATCACTAATTTTGTCGTGACCACGTACTTTTTTTCTTTCTTTCAATTTTTAATATAAAAAATATTTAGAAGTTTTAATTGAACATCTCTAATTCACCCTAATGATGTTGAATGAACCCACACTCTTCATTTATCATTCCTTTATATCTCTATCTCTCTCGATTCTCTTTCTCTTCTAGAGATCAAAATAAAGATAATATATTGTGAAATATAGGACCATTCTTATCAATATAAATCAATGGATCTAATCACATTCGATGAAGGGTGACAGTAACCGTGGACAGTAGGTATTACAATGATACCATGTTGCAATAATTCCAACTAATTAGTAATCTTTAGCCTCCGCTTGGGTAGTGGGTTGGTTTTTTGGCTTTTTAGCTTTTTTGGCTATTTTAGCCTGGGCTAAAAAGCTTGGTTTGGGAAGGGCTTTTTGACTTTTTAGCTTTTTTGATTTTTTTTGTGAGAAAAGAGTGTAATGATTATAGGTTGGATGTGATGTTTTGTTTGTTGTGACTAAAATAGCATATTTTATCTTTTGTGGCTAAAATAGCCAAAAAAGCCCATAAACTCACTTCCCAAACGGTGCCTTACTTTGTAAAAGAAACTACAATTTAATCAAATTAGTGGGAAACAAGTTTTGTGCACCTAATAGTTTTTTTCAAATTTGTTAACTGGTGACTATGTATAAAATGTGTCATTGTCACATTCAATATTATTTTTTAGTAATTATTTGCCTTATCTTTCACTCTATAGTTGCCATTTGATAATTGATTTTTTGATTATTTTATTTTGAAATTAAAAGTTTATTTGGTTTTTTTTTTTAACTTTTTTAATTTTTGTGAAAATAAAAATAAAATAATTATGATTTAAATATACATTTTATTTTATTACATTTTTAATCAAAAAATCAATGCCAAACGAATTTGTATACCAAACAACAATACTAAGAACCATAAAAAAAAATACTTAAAAAAAAATGTATTCATACAATGAATTCACATTTCACCAACTTTAAATTTACAGCATCTACCTTATTTACAGATGAAATTCAGTACAATTTCATGATATATATAGCATTTTCCCATACCAACACCATGGATAAACACTACATATGAGAGAGCGCTCTCTCTCTCATGCAGATTGAATTTTAGAAAATAAGTATTTTTATTTTATTATTTTAAAATTAATATTATTATGGAATTATTTAGTTATTTAGTTTCTTTATTTTTGTATTGCATTATGGCAATTGCCAATTCTCGTTGTTTCCTAATTAAGTTAGGTCTATGTTTTAGTAGTTGTCAATTCTGGGTGTTTTTTAATTAAGTTAGGTCTATGTTTTAATAGTTGTCAATTCTTAGTGTTTTTTAATTAAGTTAGGTCTATATTTTGCTTATAAATAATGGATGTAAGCCTTAGGGCAAGGAGAGTTTTTGATGATTAATATATTTTGAGTTTTATTATTCTTTGTTCTAACTTTGGTTAATTCTGTGTGAATCAACTTTGGTTGAGCCTTTAAACTCGGTATTTTTGGGAATCACCGGGTCTAAAGAGGAGTCTTATTTCTGGTATTCTTGTGTAAATCAACGGATCTTAAGATTGTTACTATTGTTTCGATCAGCACTGCATCAGTTGGTATCAGAGCTTGCTACGTTCTTGCTTCATGTTGAGGAATCGCAGTGATGCTCGAGAGGTTCCTATGGAGGAGGAGGTAATAGATGATGATTCTAACCTACTGAGTTTTCATAGTGAAAGACCGAGGAGAGATCAAGCATTGAAAAATTATAAAGATCACATGAACCAAATCACTAAACAGGATGATTTGATTAAATGGCCTTTTACATCAAAATTTATTCCAGATCCGATTGTGGATTGGAGTAAACCACCGATTTTTGATGATAAACCATTCATTGATGGAATTAATGATATGTTTAATCATATTTTGTCTGTTGGAAGCATAAATCAGAGTTATGGAAGGGTTGGTGTTAATTTTATTTTTGTGGAAGATCATATACTCGGTTTATATGAGTTCAATGAGCATTCAAAATCGATTTACAATATGGAGAATATTTTTTATGATCTGTTTGAAGAGAAATTTCATGAAGAGTTGACAAATTTGAGTTTGAACCGTTCAAATTTGGGCTTTGATGAAGATGTGTTAAATTTGTTAAAGAAATTTGTTCCTTTAATTTTCGGAGACTCTTTTTTGAAGTTTAGATTTGAAAAAATTAAACTCAAATATAAGGTTGATGCGGATAAGTGCAGACGTGCCAAGTTATTTCGAGCAATAGAAACTCGAGGACGAGTTTTCTCAAGCGGGGAAGAATGATGCAAATTGAATTGTAGAAAATAAGTATTTTTATTTTATTATTTTAAAATTAATATTATTATGGAATTATTTAGTTATTTAGTTTCCTTATTTTTGTATTGCATTATGACAGTTGTCAATTCTCGTTGTTTCCTAATTAAGTTAGGTCTATATTTTAGTAGTTGTCAATTCTGAGTGTTTTTTAATTAAGTTAGGTCTATATTTTAATAGTTGTTAATTCTGATTGTTTTTTAATTAAATTAAGTCTATATTTTACTTATAAATAATGGACGTAAGCATCAGCACTGCATCTCACTCTCTCTCTCTCTCTCTCTGAAAGAGAAAATGTCAAGCATATTCTGGAAAAACTTCTACATCTGCTTCTCAAAATTCAAGTGCCCCTTACAAGAAGAAGATCACAACCATCCATCACCCACCACATCATCATCAACCCTAATCAACACCTTCAATTCTCTCAACCACCTCACCTCCACCTCCACCTCCACCACGACCACCACCATCTCCTCCGATGACTTCTTCTCTTCCTCCTCCGACTCCGACACCGCTGACTTCGCCGCCATCTTTGCCTCCCAACGCTTCTTCTTCCCCTCCCCTGGCCTCTCTAACTCCATCATCGACTCGCCGGAAAACTCTCCTCCACCACCACCACCACAGTCCTCCTCCTCCGATACCATAGTCGCCGGAAGTGTCGCCATTCGAACCTACTCGCCGGACCCGTATTCGGATTTCCGACAATCAATGCAGGAGATGATTGAAGCTCGTCAATTAATGGATTTAAGGGCCGATTGGGATTATCTTCATGAACTTCTCTTGTGTTATCTAACACTAAACCCTAAACACACCCACAAGTTCATTATCAGTGCTTTTTCTGATCTTCTCATTTCGCTTGTGTCGTCGACAACCACCGACCACAGTCGCCGGAAATCCAAGAAACAACCAAGATCCGCCGCTTTACCACAGTTGTTGTAATTTTTCCTTTTTCTTTTTTGTTTTGTTTTTGTTTTTGTGCCGGAGGTGGTGGATGTTGGGCTGGGATTGTCCATGTAAGTTTATAAATGAATCCGAGTCTAATTTAGTAGTAAATGTTGAAATTTAGTTTGACAAGTTTGAAGTCTAAAAAATGTATAATGTTAGTTCGTTAATCAGTTCAAATTGATTTCAAAGGAGTTTTAATCTATCAAATTGACTAACTTAAATTTTCATAAATTTATCAAGGTCAGTAAAGTTAAACTCATAAATTAATATGATTTTTGGTTTTTTTTTTTAAGCAGCGGTTTTTTATTTTTGATTTTTAATTTTTTAAAAATACTTTTCAAAAAATTTTACTTTCTTATTATTCATTTTTTTTTATTTTTACTAAATTTTTTTAATATTTTAAGTAATTTTTAAAATTTTTAGACGTACCTCACATAAATACATATATAAAGTATAATTTTAACTCATAAATTAATATGATTTTTGGTTTTTTTTTTAAGCAGCGGTTTTTTATTTTTGATTTTTAGTTTTTTAAAAATACTTTTTAAAAAATTTTACTTTCTTATTATTCATTTTTTTTTATTTTCACTAAATTTTTTTAATATTTTAAGCAATTTTTAAAATTTTTAGACATACCTCACATAAATACATATATAAAGTATAATTTTTGTGAAATTTTTTTAAAAAAAATTTACTAAATATCAAAAATATAAAAAAATACGAAAATTCAGTATATTTTTTTATAATTTTTTTGTATTTATTAATTTTTTAAAATATTTTTCACAAATTTTTTAATTTTTAGATATATCTAAGTAAGGTATATCTAAAAAAAATTAAGAAATACTTAAAATTTTAAAAATATTCACTAAAAACCAAAAATATGAAACATAAAAAATTTAATTTTCAAAAAACTTAATACAAAATACTCGAACCAAACACACATTATGGCCTTGTTTGATTTGACTTTGAGAGATAAGTTTTCAAAAAATATTTTAGAAAGAATTTAGAAATTTTTGTAATTTGTTTGGTTGTATATTTTGAAAATAGTTTTGAAGTTTAGGAGTTTGGGATGATTTGATATTTTGTTATAATTGAGTAGATATATGTAAAAGAAAAAGTGATTGAAAAGAAGAGATGAGATGAAAAAAAAAAATGATTGATTGATCTATAAGAGAAATTTTGAAAAAAATTTAAGAAAAATTACAAACCAAAAAAAAATTTCAAAATTTTTCTCCAAAATCTTTTTTTCAAAGACAAACCAAATATTTTTTAAAATTGCTGAAAGAGTTTTTTTTTTTTTTTTGGTGAATGAAAACCCAAAACGACGTCGTTTTGGGCTGTCGAGCCAAACTCGAGCCTGAAAAATCGAGCTACGAGGCATTTCCCTTTTTTTTTCAAGTTGATGACAAGCAAAAAAATGTTTGGCAATTGAAATAATCAAAAAAAAATCAAAAAGTGAATATAAAAAGTCAACTTATTTTCATACTATTTTTTTTTTTTGACATCTTTTTTGTGAAATAGTTAAAAAAATTATTAAAAAATTAATTTCCAAACAATCCTTAAGTACAGTGACCTTTTAATTTTTTAACTTTTTTAACCATAAAATGATGTTTTTGTGAAGTTCCCGAACGACCCAAAATATGTGTTTAAGCGAAGTTTATTTGTAAAGGAGTCGTGCTAGGGAGCTCGAATCTGAGCTCCCCCGAATGCCCCGAATTCCATTTTTTTCCATTTTTTTTTTTTTTTTCAGCAAAAGGAAAATGTTATTGATGTTATAAAGAGTAGAACATAATTACATCAAAAGAGGAAGCTAAGGTAAAATAGCATAAGCGCTTAGATCAAAACGACGTTGTTTTGATTTTTTTTGATTTTTTTTTTTTTTTAGAAGTAGAAAATCAAAAAAGAAGAAGAGAATGAAGAAGAAGAACTGAAGGGGTCAACATCAACCGGGCTGGGCTGCGACGGCCTCGACCCTCGATTGGCGGAGGTGGAGGAGCGGCGATCGGCGACGGTTCTGCGACGGATCGGAGACGACGGCGACGGCGACCTCTTTCTCTCCCTCTCCCTCTCCTCCCCCTCCCCTGCAGGTCGAACGAAAATGGCAGGAAAAAAAAAAAAAAAAACCTAATGCCCAAAAGGACGTCGTTTTGGGCATTAGGGGGATTAGAGGGGCTCATTTTCGAGCTCTCAAGCATTATTCTTATAAAGTTGTGCTAGGAATACAGAAAACAATTCACATGCATGAGCTCACATTGCATCTCTCATCTATGTTTATTCTGTGAAATTTTTTGTCTGCGAAATTTTTTGTGTACTTAAATCAATTGTTATTTTTATAATAAATCAACCTTTAAATGAATTTTCATTAGGGTAATTTTTAAGTGTGTAAGTACATATTGCACACTATATGTATTTGCATAAATTTTCATAAATATATATAAATTATCTCACAAAATCATATAAGTTTTTTGTGAGATTATTTTTATATATTAGTAAGAATTTACGCAAGTGTATAAGATATGTACTTTACACATCCAAATACTTCCTTTTTTTATTGAGCATAATACAATAACAAATTTTTAACCACAATGAAACTCAAGAAAACTATCTCCATGGTGCGGTATATGTATTTTGTGAGAAGTTTAATCTATGAGGACAAAGTACCAAAATATAAATAAAATAAAATAAAGTGTAATGAAATCACAAAACCAAGGAAAGCGTGGGTTGTTATTCCCTCGACCCATGTAATGTTCTAGGGCAATACTTTAATTTCTCAATGTCGTTTTTTTTTTTTTTTTTTGGTAGATTTGTCAATTGAAATTGAAAATTATTGGGTGACAAATCAAAGTCTTCAATTTTTGTCTTGTGGTCCATACAACTTTTTGGTTCTAGCATGTTGGCTAAGCTTGGCACACATACTCATGGGGGGGCCTAAGCCTATATGTTGTCCCATGAAGGGGTAACTGGTAGTATAGTGCACCTCTGATTTAGAGAATTTGGTGTTTCAAGCGAATTATTTTCTCACATAATGTGAGAAAAATTTCTAAGAGAAATGATCACATAACAGAGATAAATAAATGAATTCGACATGTGTTATATATATTTATAAGAGGATAACTTATACTATAATCATTTTAAACACTAAATAAAATTAGAGAGAGGTTACAATGTGTTGGACAATCTTCACTGTATTTAAAAGATTTAATTCTATTGTGTACACAACAACAAATAGAATTTAAAGAAATAGAGAAAAGGAGAGAATATGTTTGATTACAAAAATAAAAATAAATAAATAAAACCACAAATTTTATTTTGTTACAAAAACAAAATTAAAATCTGATTAAATAAACAAATAAAAACAGAATTAAATTAAACAACTTACTTGGTTAATTTATATGAATAATAATATTTCTGATCAAGTCCAGTGTTTAACACTGTGTCCTTAAGACAGATTCGTCCTCTCCACGGTGCTTTCAGAATATGGACGTCTATCTCCCAGGATGAAATGATCTACCACAAACAATAGCAGCACTACAAATTGTTTGCCTTACGAACACACTAAGTGTTTACACTCTTTCTTTCGAAAATAAAATGCAGCAAGATGAAGAATATAATTAAGCAAATCTTGATTGATGCCTATTCTGGTGAAGGTTGGAAAGGACAAAGGTTTGTAGTCTATTGCTAATTTAGACTAAAGATTTTAAGGCAGTTTTTTTATTCTGGCACTGTTGCCTTCACTTTAGTGGCAGATGCATTTTTCATGAGTCTGATTGATCATATTCTTTTTCATGCTGACAATTTGATTGGATTCTGCAAAAATGGAACCTAAACTTCAAAATAATATTAATGTTTTAACAAAGATGTATAAGGGGTTGTTTGGTGCATCTGTTAAAACAAAGTGGTTGTTTGGCATGTGCTAAAATAGCACATGCTATTTTAGCACATTATCCTATTTAGGTCACAATCATTTTATTTAAGTTACATCACTTCTCTACCACATCACTTCAAACCCAACCCATATTTCACGTTTGTTTGTAAAAAGTTGAAGTATACTAATCTAGCACTTCCCAAACAACCTCAAATTATAGTTTATAAATCAAGTTTTTAATCTGTTTGGTGCATCTGTTGGATTATAGATTTAAGTTTATGAGTAGTGTTTGGTAAATAAGTTGTGAAATAGTTTTTTGATGTATAAATGTCATGTTTACCCCTATTAATTGTAAATTGAATTAACTTTTATTTTTTGTTATTCACTACTAGTCCACATTTCCTATATAAAGGCCTCGTTTGGGAAGTGGCTATTTTAGTAGGCTATTTGGCTATTTTAGTAGGCTATTTTGGTTTTTGTGTTTGGGAAGATGAAATGAATTTTTAGTTGAGTTGTTGTATTGAAAAGTGTGTTGAAATGATGTTTGAATTTAAAATGACAAATTTGTCCCTAAATTATATTTTTTAATTGGATGTAAACAGGCAAAATGGTAATTTAACCCTTGATGTAACAATTTTCGGCTGTGATAGTGTAGGCACAGCCTACACTTATTTATATATATATATATATATATATATATTTTTAAAAAAACTAATTCTTAAAAGTTAGTTGGTTTAGGTGAGGCTAATAACACACCTATACTTATATAATTAAAGTAGTCTCCATTTTTAAGATCTTAGCTTTTATTTGTTATAACATTTGTTAGAATATAAAGTGTTCCGTCAAGGATTTTTTATTCTTAAAATTTTTATATATTTTTATTTTTAATCTATTTTTAATCACATAATTTGATGGAAATCTCAAAATATATGAATTTTATGTCAAAATCGGAAGTATATTATATTAAAATAGAAGACATAGATGTTATAAAGATCAAAAAAAAATTGTTTTTGGCCTATTTTTCCAAGAAAGCCAAGTGTTAGACAAACTAGACCAGTATTTTGTGCTTTAGGTTGAGTTTGTCTCCTGATTAGAATAATAGCAAATTAGCAATGCATGTCAAACGTAGATTAGCCAAAATGAATGTGTGCTTTAACATAAATTAAAAAAATTATGGTGACAAACAAGTATGTGTGATTCTATTTGTATCCAATCTAATTAAAATTTTAGTTTCTATTATATC